CAAATTCATATAGTTAAATAAGATGCATATTGCCCATGTAGTGTGTTATCCTGCTTTTCAAACTTTTGTATTCCCACGTCTGATGAAACATTCCTTTGATAGATGATTTTTAATGACTACATAGTATTCCATTTTAAGAATGAATGTTTCACTCTGAAAATTAAACAACATATGCTGATCAGTCTGAGTTAATAGTGAAGGATAGCTGCCTGTACTTTTCTTCACCCTTTCTAAATTTAAAGTATTAAGAGAAAAGCTAAGAGATAAGATGGTAAGGTAGATGTGAAGAGGGCTAGCTATGTCTCAAAATGTATGAAAATATAGGACCATGTTCCAAGATAACCGTGATGTATTTCTACATTGCTTGATACAGATTTTTATCCGTAATAATTATAGAAGTTAATGTGGATTTATCAATTTTGGAAAAAAAGTGAAGGATAAAGGTTCTGTGGAATCATTGGAATCTCAAATTACTTGTGCCTTATGTATTAATAAAACCTGTAAGAGAGGTGGTAGGAGGAAAATGCTGGAGGAAGAGCCTCTGGAAGACAATGATTCTACAAGGTCATACACTAATTCTTAACAGACTAAACAGGTTCACAAAGGGCAAAAAACCTCACTGTCAGCGAGCTGCAAATCCCATGTGTCTCTCCCTTACTCACTAGATCACCAGGCCTGTCCTATTCTCCAAACAGCTGGGGGTTAGGGAAGGGTGAAAGTGAGGGGAGAATGAAGAGCCTGGGAGTGAGATCTTCCTCGCTCAGCAGCTGTTCTGTCCAACAACTGTCACGCTCTGCCTTGGCATTCCAGTTTCCCAGCAAACGGACTTGCTCTATCCTGCCACTTCCCAGTGACTCTTTTTACCGCAAAACCACATCAACTTGCCAATTGGTTTCATTTCTGGCCAAACCAGTAACCAGATTTACAACCCTTGACCCCTAGCATTTTCATTATTAAATACATTAATTTCTACTGCTTAAAGATTGAACTCTGTCACTGCTCTTTATGAAGTCACATTTAGTATGGATGATTTTCAAACCAGGGTCCACACCCTGCATATGCACTTTGGACACATGGAAGCTTCTTTAAAATCTATATCTGAAATAGTCCCTCTTCCTCTGACCTATTGCCTCTCCTCCAGACACACTCCATCCAGTTACCTCGCTTTTCTGTCTACAAAGAACTAACTTAACACTACCTGGAATTATTTCATTTTTATGTTTTCGTAGGACATAATTTGGATGAAGGAATTACTTGTAACTTGTTAGGTATTCCACTCTAGCATTCATGTTCTCCATCCTATCATAACCAACCCCAAAGCTTGTTGACATATACAAAATGCACCTTTCATTGTATCTTGTTTCTGAGCAGTTGGCTTCCATTGAGTATCAGCCATCAAGATACAAATGAACTTCAAGAATGTGACATCACAGTGTCAACTGACGAACACAAGGATCAAATGCAAACACACGTGGCATTGTCTCCTGTGTATTAAATGGGCATTGCTACTGTTGATTTGGATTTATAATATATGTGTTGTGCCTCTAAAAATACGAAAATATATTCTTACAAGCATCCTATTGACTCTGGAAATAATAAATGATGGGGCATGACAATCAGTGTCAAATAGTTCATAGAAATTTCTTTTCTGTGCTTCCAAGATTAATCTTCCCTATACATTTTTCACACTGGTTTTAAGAAGGAAATGTAACCAGATTTTAAGAACTGATTCCCTTTTCTGAGTGCTAGCTTTGTTGAAATGAAAACAATTTTGTTAAACCATAAACAAAATCACTGTTCTCTTTAAGTTTTCAATCTTTGTGAAAATCAAAAGGGTATGAATCCACTCAAAGAAACACAATGAATGTGAATATACAACTGCAATTGTAAGGATAAATTAGTCAAATGTAGTCAACCATTAGAAATATGGCTAACAGTGGGCATGACATGCTTTTTCAGGACACACTTATCTAGTGCTATCAAGATATCTTTAGCCAGTTAGCTTGCTCAATTGACTAACTGTCTCCTACCTCATTTACTTGAATAAAGATGTAGCAGGGAGACTTCAGCATGATGTAATGATTTTGTAGCAGCACATGCACAGGGAGAAACAAATTTTCATGGAAAATAACTTAGGCAAAGCAATATATCACCTGGCAAAATGATGTGTGACTGTTTCCCCAGTTTAAAAGCAAGGCTATTGAAATTTTCAATTTGAATACTTTGGTAAAGAGTACAGAATCAAACATCAAAAATCTGAGTTGGAAAAAGTCCCCTACCTTATTCCATTCTTTTTCCTATAATTTGTTCTTGTTTTACTTCTGACTAAGTAGCTGCTCATCTTTAAACAATTATAAAATATTTTATGAAGTTATTATTCTCTTATTATTCATGAAATAAATAGAAGTCAAAGAATTAGGGGGATTTAAAAAACCTGAAAGGAACAAAAGCAACAGAAATATATAGTGAACCCTGCAAGGATGCACCTGTGATGTGCTTGATAAAGTAGCTTTAAAAAATTCTTCAAGAAATGAGAATTGCTATGAAGCAGAACAGTTTGGAGAATGTGTCTCTCAAATCAACAATACAAATCCCTGAAGCTCTAAATAATTTTCTATAGTCAACATGTGTTCACTCATCAGGCATTTCTTGTCATTTGTTAAGATAATTGTCCTTAAAAATCTTAGTGTGTTTTTTTAATAAATATAGAAAACAGATAATTGAAGTTTCTTAAACTGAAAGAACATTATTATGAATGAATTCTTAAGCTGCAAATCTTATAGTTCTATTACTCAAAACCAAAAACATAAGTGACAACAGAGTTGCTACCGAACTTGACTAGGCTTCCAGAGCAAATAGCGTAAGTAGGCCTTTGAACAGACCACTTATTTTAACTGAACTAGCAGGCAGGTTTCTCCGCAGACATGCTGTCTTTTGCAAGTTGGAGATCATGTTTCCCAGCAGCCTCCAAGCCTATTGCTTGTGGCTCCCTCAGAGTCCCTCCTCCTTCAGTACAGAAACAAGAAGGCTTCATTTATCCTTTGAAATGCACCAGTCTGCTCTAACAAATCTTCACTTTTCACAAGGTAAAAAACAAACAAAACAGGACTTGTCTTAAAAGTGAAAGACAGATGCTCAAAAAGTAAGAGTTCTAGTCTAGTGAGTGAGTCAGGGGGGTTCAGGCTTCCTTTTGCCCCTCACCTTTCTTCCTAAAAACAAGGTTTCTCTACATCTTACCCTATCTGAACTCTAAGAAGTATAGCACAGCTTTATTATGTTACCATGAAGTTTCTTGAGACTTCACATATTTGCCTATTTCTCAATAGCTGGGGAAAAAAAAATCTACACTCAGTTATAGCACTTTTTAGGTATACTTGTAATGATAATTAAATTTTCAAAAGATAAACTATATACAGATATTATCTCAATAAGTTATTCTTCAAAATGGACTACTTAGAACAAAGGATACAAATTTACAATATAATTAATGAAAATATATGTTCCTAAAATTAGAGATAAGGGCAAAATAGTTTCTGCTGGGTATTGAGGGGTGGGGGGGAGAGGGAGGGGGTGGAGTGGGTGGTAAGGGAGGGGGTGGGGCCAGGGGGGAGAAATGACCCAAGCCTTGTATGCACATATGAATAATAAAGCAATAAAAAGAAAAAAAAAGGAAAATATATGTTCCTAAAATAATAGGGACTTCAAACTACTAAAAATCAGTATCTATATATACTTATGTTTGTCCCCTTAACTTTGGTGGATATCTCTATTAATATGTAAAGATTTGGATACTTAAATGTAACTCACCTCTGTACATAAAATTTAATATGTGCATGTGGTGTTATTCTACAAAGTTTAGTTAAAAATGAAATGTAAAGACATTGTTGCACCTTCAAAATCATTTTGGACAATGAGAGGAAGAAAGAAAAAACATGAACCCTAGTTTAATCCTCATTAAATACATTATTGCAACTCATTTCACAATGATAATTTTGCACTTGTACTTGATTCAAGTACAAAGCCATGCCCACTCACTAGTGACCAGTCTCGGAATATACAATTTGAATTCATCCTTGTACAAAGTTACAAACTTCTACATGTGACAGAGATTTTGAGTTGCTTATGCAAGTCACAGCTTGGATTTAAAGTTAAATTCTTAAGTGCCAAAGATCTGTTCACAAAATTAATATGGAAGAGTAAGTGGGTAAATTTTTGAGTAGACAGAAAGGGAGTAAGTATATTGAAAAGACCATAAAGAAACACAAAGGGAAATTCTACATGTGACCAGTCCCCCATGGAAAAGGCAGAAAATTACACAAACAGATTTCCAGTAACATTTATTAGCAACCAAATGAAGTCACTGTATAAAGAATTAGTGCCAGACACAGGATCCGTGGCCAGTGTGCCTTGTTGAGAGGCAAAACTCTATCACCACTGAATCCTGCATTCTTGAGCAGCAAACTGACCTATGCAGCAGCTCAGATTCTTTACTCACAAGTTGGGGAAAATAGGACTGGGTGGGGTGGTACACACCTGTAATCCAAGAGATTACTGAGAGTGGACATGAGAGGATCAGGATCCTAGTTTGAGGCTAGCCTGTGCAAAAGTTGTTATGGCCCTCCCTGAAGAACAGCAGCAACAAAAACTAAACGAAGCTGGGCATGATAGTGAATTCTGTAATCCCAGGTACAGGTAGGAGGATTGAGATTTGAGACTAGCCTGTGCAAAAACATGAGACCCTGTCTGGAAAAAAAACTAAAGCAAAAAGGGCTGTGGGTGTGGCTCAAGTGGTAGAGCGCTTTCCTATCAGGCACAAGGCCCTGAGTTCAAACTTTAGAACCACAAGGTGGGGAAAATAACACTTTATGCAATGAATTTTTAAAATAGAACAACATTCATAAAAGCAAAAGGAAATGACACAAGTAATATGTCTCTAACCTGTAAACTACTACACAAATTCTTATTATACTTATTAAAATAAGTAAGATGGAATTGCTTACCAAGGATAAATTCCAGCTGTGGCTCATTGGAAACCTTCTGAATACCTATAAAAAGTAGGATAGATTCCAATTAAAAATAACTTACTGTCAATAATACAACAAAATAAATTACTAGTTCACATGAATAAGTGGATAAACACAATTTGGGGGAATGAATGAATAAGCGTGGGTTATCAAGCTTAGTAGTAAGTTCTCAGGAGAGGGTTTTATGCTTATCACAGAACCAGATGTAATTGATGAGGCTCGATGGCCATAAAAAAACCCAAGCAGTACTGCTGTTGTAAGCCATGACAAATACGAAACACATCTTTAACTGTGTCTGTTTCTTACAGAAGTGTGCAGACAGAAGGAGAACCTGTCAAAAGAACCACACTTCCAGTCGCTCTGACCTGTTGTGAATAGGACACTGCTAACAAAAAAGAGGTCTCCAGTTAGGTTCTGATGGGCATAGTTGTGGTGCAAATTTACATACGGTTAAATGATTCCATTCCTTCTGTTAGTGAGGTTTAAAACATTAAGCCACATGGCCAAATGGTTGAAGATGAAGTAGGAGGGAAAGTGAGTCTGAGAGCAAAGGATGGAAATGGCAGCAGCCAATAGAAAGGAGAATGATCTCAGGTTACCTACAGTGAATGCTTAGGCAGGAGGGATGTCTGATGACCTCACGCAGTGCAGGATGAGGTGAGGATGGGGTGCACACCATTTGTCACACCTCATGGAGAGCCAAACAGGCGAATACCAAATGCATAGAAAGGAAAACCACTTGGCAATATATGTAAGGATAGTATAAAAATATTCTCCTCATTTATACTTTGCTGGTACACTCACTAGGTACTATTTAAATTTACTGGCATTCGGTCGCTAATATACTTTTTAAGTTACCTCTTTGCATAAAAATCATGCATTTTTATTCACTGAGTTAACACTTTTTTTTGCACAGTAGCTATTTTTTTTTCTCCCACTGACATTTAACAATACTACTGTTAACAATTATGAGTTTCCTACAAAGGTTAGAGGGACAATCATTAGGTAGGTCTTTGTGAAATAGGAATAGTCTGGATTTTTAAAAGGTTATTAATAATTAACTCTACTATAAGCTCTGACAACCAAATTTCTTGAAAATGCAACCAGTGCCATTTTCTAAAGATATTTCTTATAACAAATTAAATGAGGTTAGGCATATATTTGTCAGTTTAAACAACGGGACAATGGAAATCTTCTAGGGAAAAAAAAAGACACAATTCATAAAACAAACCCTAGAGTTTTAATCATGAGAGAAAACATACAATTCTTCCAATGATTTTAATTACTTGAATTAAAAATGATTCTAATGTTTAAATGCAAACCTTGCCACCATCCTAGCTTGTTCTGTTTCTGTGAATTAGTGCTCTTTGGTAAGTACCAACACTCTAAGCTTCTTGTGTAACAGTTTTTCACTAATGCTTTCAACTAAATGCCTTTGGTTTGAAAATTTTCTATGCTCTAAATAATAATTCCACATAAGAATATATAAGTGCCAAATAGAAACTGTTCTTAAATAGTATTAGTGTCTAAAAAGTTTCCTTAAAACAGTATTTATCAGTGTTTTAAATATGCACTCAAAAACTTTGATTTCTCACTTGATGTTTGACAGTTTCATGGACTATCATCTTCTTACCCAAGGTATAAGATGTGAGGCATATCTACACTCACAACACCAAAGTAAATAGTGCAAAGAGAAAACATTTATGTAATCTCATGCGTTTGTTAGAATTCAAGTTTCTGTGAATGAACACATGTGTTTGGTCAACCCAATTTGCCTTTTCAGAGAGTTATGGGGGTGGGACCCCACACATACTTACTTGTAAACTGAGTGTCCCCGGTGTCATTTGCCTGGGCTGTAGGAAGAAAGTGCTGGCCTTCTTCTGATGCTCCTTCCTCTTTGATTTCCATGATCAACCTTCACAACTGTTTAATTTTCTTAGTTTTGTTGTCTAAATATCACAGGCAAATGGTTTCTGGTTTAGTACTGGTGTATCTTCACACTAAAGATCTGATGTCCTGCTCTGAAATTCTGCAGAGAAAACACCAGAGTGAATCGCACAGTTACTCTGAGGTTCAATATATATTAGTAGTAAGTAGAAACTACAGCTATTGTCAAATAATTTTTTCCTGCCTTGCCTGTCCAACTCCCACTTTCAGAACCAATCCACATAAAGCACCACAAAATCTAGGTTAAACAGGTAGTTCCCAAGCAACTACTGGATGGTCACATGAGCGACTTCTAAATCCTGAAAGATGTGTTCTTTCTCTTCAACTTAACCGTAAAGATAGCATAAAAATATAGGGCTGCTAAAAGTCCACACCTAATTTAAAACAAAAGCAGATAGCATCTTGTCAAGGGGTTCGTCTGTTTTCCAAGGTGAGTATTATGATCATTCCTTCAATTAGAATTACACTTTATGCTCATCTTTCCATTGCCTTTGTTACAACATTAATCATGGCCATATAAAGATAACTTGGCTGACACTCTTCTTCTAAGATGGACCAACAAGTTGAACAGGGGAATTTCCAGTCCCCACAGTCTCTTGCTGTTCTGCCTGATAAATAATAATTGTTTAATGACTGGGGAATATGGTGAAAAGAATGAGTAATAATTCTGAAAAGCTAAAGCTCAAGGGAAAATGAATAAGAGCAAACTGATGGAAATTGGTACAGGGAAAGAAATCTCCCCAAATTTAGCACCCTGTTCTGCAGACAGCCTCATGTAGTTACAAATTCATTTTGATACTTAGCATGATATACATGACCAGGAATGAATTGAAAAAAATCAATGTTGTTTTAAATCAACTTGCCAGCTGAATTAAAATGTGTAAAAATCTTTAAATGTCTACCCAGCGCTGTTTAATGAAATAGCAGCAATTGCGTTTGTTTTGGAATACTGATGTGGTCTCAAAACTCACAAATCAACAGCCTCACTCTCTGCTGTTCTTAGCAAAGCAGCTTCATTTAATATTCAGCTCTAGTTCTTAAAGATCTTCAGCAAAAATTAAAATCCAGAAAGCATCTTGAATCTTTGGAAAATATTACAGTAATGTTGCAGATAAATACATATTGGCTCCTAATGATATAAGCAAGAATACTTTCTGAGGTAAAGGACAATTGTACCATCAATTACATATACATCAATCTTAAAACTACATTTTAAATTAGGGCATGCTTTCTAATTTCATTTTTGGCTATTACATTTAGAAGTCATTTCGGATAAGGATAGACATGGATTCATTGCACCACACTCTCTCAAGGACCGGTGACAAATTACATAACATCTGCAGCAGACTGCAATGCATATGTCACTTGGATATAAGGGCCATGTCAACTTCACTATATTTTTTTAATCAACCCTTAGTCCTAAGCACTCATCTTAAAATTTAAAAGGAGACCTTCATGAAGCACCATGAGCTAATTCTTGAAAAGTAACAGCTCAGTACAATAATGGTGACTAATTAATAAAATAAATGTCAACTCCATGTGTGAGTGTGAGTGAACTTGGGTAATTTGGGGGAAGGGGAAAGAACTAAAGTAAGATGCCATGCTTTGATTTTGGGCATATAACTCACTCAAAACCAGTTTACTAAGTGAAAATAAGCATGTACAACAAGGATTAGGAGGCAACTTCTGAGATTCTATTCATTTTCACTCTTCCTTTGCTGCACTGAGGAATAATTTAAGGTTTGGTACTTATTGTCAAAATACACATTTCAGGAGGAAACAGTGACAAACCTCCAGAACAACTGCATCTCTGGCTGGTAAGGGGAGTATTTAGCTGTGGTTATGGTTAGGTTCCTTTTCTATGTCTAGTTGGAAATTTTTTGGCTTGGTGATCATGCACAAGAATAAACTGTGGCTTTTGCATACCACAAAGACACAGCTTTTAAATACAATGACTATTTAGTTCGGTTCTCCTATCTTTTGTTCTACTCAGATGAGCAAAGATGAGCTAAATGGTCATAACATTTGGAAAAACATATTCTTGGTTCTATCCTATTCCCTCAGAGGAGAGAAATGATTAGCATTGATATTTCAAATTACATAAAACCAAACAATATTTCCCACAGACAATAGTGATAATAGACATTTGTTAAGATTTTGTATTCCTCACACTACAAAAGGTAATCTGCCATGCACATAAGAATCACACAAGGACATTATGGTTAATTAGGAAAAGAAAAGTAACCACTATATATGAAAAATAAAGACTTTACATTGATGAAGGACAAAAGGTGATGGATTTAACATTGGGATCCTTCAGCATGGTGCTGGTGATGCTTTAGAGGCAGTCTAAGCAGATGGTACCCTGCTGTCAAGAGAGTGTTCTGCAGGCACATTGCAGATACATAAGATGGTGTCAAAAAGAGTGCCCTGAGTTGGTATGGTGGTTTTTAAATAGCACACTCCTGGCACAGTGTCACATAGCATAGTTCCCATCAAATATGAGAAATTTGTAAAGAAAATGTAGATAAAAGAAGAAAGGCTGAGGAGTTGTAATATAAAGTTCAGAAGATGAAAGAAGGGAAAAGGTGAATCAGATCTCTTAGTGATTACATGTAAAAGGTTGTAATAAGGGTAATCATTTTACAAATATTGAATAATGCAATTTAATTATTTAAAATAGTCTCCTCCTTAAGCCTATCTAAAAGATTGAGCCTTGGTATTTATTATTCCAGGGCAGGAAAGGGCAAAATAATTAAGTTTGAGGAAACAAGATGTGCTAAATTATTTCTCTTAGATTTTATATTAAGGAATTATAAGCAAGTTGGTCAAATTCTTTAATTTTCACATAGTTGGCTGGAGATACTTCTGACATCTATGAAAGCTGGAACCAGAGGGACAAGTGAGACTGGGAGTCAGCGTGGGAGAATAATGCTCTTATCTCAGAGGTGACGAACCGAAAGGGAGGGGAAGGTCATGGGTAGATGGTAGGACGATGTTCTGTCTCCCATTGTAATCTGGTAGAGCTGTTATTACGCCACCCCTGTGCTAACACACAGCATTCTCTTCAAAATGAAAGGGAGTTCATTGTGTGGATGGACAAAGGGACAAGGACTCAGGTTAAACTCAGGATTCCCTCTGCTTCGCTCCTGCATAGGTGGGCATGAAGAGAGACTACCTGGCTGTCATTGTGGGGACAGAAACAGAGCTGACACCAAGCAGGTCATCTTGGGTTTCCTGACAAAAGGGATATGATGACCCTGCAACAGAGGCTGGGGTGTTGGTTACCTGGGCCAAGAATCAGATAGAGGATCTGAGAATCTGGCCAAAACTCAGTAGGCTTTCTCTGATATCTAGAGCCCAGGCAAGGCCCAGTTAGAAAGTCCTGACTTATTCTAAGAAAAGACAGTTCACATGAGACTCCAGCCAGGTCGGGGGCATGGAGGCAGTGATGGAGACAGGATTGACATTCCTTGGTGGATAATAGCAAGCATCCACCCAGTAATAGTGCGAGAGCAGTGAGCTTCATCTGTTCAATGCCACACAGCCTTGTGAGACCTACGTTCTCACAGGAGAAAAAAGCAAGAAGGGAAGACCAGCTGAGATCTTAAACAGAATAAGCATTTTACAATGTGACTTAGACTTTTACCAAATGTAGATTTAAACCATAGTCAACTAAACATTAAAAGCTTTTTATTCATTTGTTTTTATTTTGTTTCATTTTCTTGCTCTCAGCTGCAGGATACATATGACGTAAATGAGGAAAAAGAAGAGAAGACCCTTCCCATGAATGTGAAACTTGCCTCTCCTGCCACAATGGTTTTTGTTTGTTTGTTTGTTTGTTTGTTTAAAAAAAATTCCAACATATTTCTGTCTTTAAAATAAGCAGATCCAGCTGTAATCAGAATAAGGGACTTCCAACCAAGAAAAAAATAAATGGCTTAAAATCTGCCTTTAAAAGGGGTCAAGAGGTCAGTCTCAGGAGAAGTGAAGTGAAGAGTGACTGTGGGATGTGATAAGATCTGTGAATGGAGGTCAGTCAAGGTGTGAAGCAGAGAGAATACACATCCAACTGAGAAGCAAATAAATCAAGGATGACCTCATGGAAAGGAGGGGAGGGCTTTCAGGAAATTAACTAGGTGAGAAAGACAGGTATTGACATTCCAAGCCAACAGAGCAGGAGGAATAAGAAAATGTGGAAAATAAGAATAAGAACTCAGAGAACAGCAAGCAGTTCATTTTGCCTAAAAGTAAGATGTTGGTTTTATGACTTTTTAAAAATTCTTATAATGGAATTCTTTCACATGAAATCTACTGGTTCACACAACATACAAAACAGGTACAGTCAGAGAATCTCTGTTGGAGTTGTGACTGGGAAGTAAGGACTCTGTTCCCTCCCTGACCTTACTTAAACTCCCTTTCACAGTGTTCATGAAACACCACCTTAAGCTCAGTTTGAAGACTTCATGACTTTTTACTTACTTATTTGTGGTGGTTGTTCCTTAACTGAAATGGGAATTGCTTCCAGAAAAAAGCTATAGTGATAAACAAAAATCAGGTCCAGACTAGAGAGTTAAGCTCAATTATAAGAAGACTAAAAAACCATGTTAAATATACTTTAAGCAGGAGAGTGAGACAATTGTATTTGAATTTTAGAAAGCTCATCAGGATATCAAAGAGTGTACTAGAAGGTGGAAGGTGGTAATGATACAGAAACTAACCTATTTGGGGTGATTTTAATGTGCTAGGAAAATAAAATATTAATGAAAGGCTGAACCAAAATAGAAAAAGATGATTAGAAAAGAGAAGCACAATTTCAAGGAAAGTTATTAAACAGAATTAATTAGCCTTGGTGATAAAATTAAGTGTGACATTAGAGTTGAAATCATGAAAAACAGGAAGCCTGGTGTCACCTACTGATTTTTGGACCACTGTATCATCTGGAGGATGAAGGGAGAGGAATTTTATTCAAGGATGTTGAATTTAGTTTTAACCATGTTGTAATAGGGTGACAAGATATTTAAAAAGCACACGAACATACATGGATATAAATTCTGAGGAGAGATTTTTAAGGCTAGAAAA